AATTCTACAGTACAAACGATATGGAGAATCCATATTAATTCCACGTTAATGTTACGTTAGTCTGTACTTAACTATGTATTTCACTAAAAAATGCAACATTTTAACTCGGTTTTTGGTAGATTTTTACGTGACTAACATAAGTCTACTGTGGAAGTGCCCATTTCGGTTACAACGACATTCGTTTATAACGACACTATTTTTAGGTCCCTTTGATGACGTTATAACCAAGTTCTGCTGTGTATATGTTAGCTGGAAAAGCTTATGGGAAGAAACAACTTCGTAGATATAGCAGTGGATGGGACAATAATATGAAGTCCGATTTTCCAGAGTTAGGTGGTGAGAACGTAAACAGGTAAACTGACTCAGGTTAGGGTCAAAGTATTCATGAAATATCTGGTTCTGTAAAAGCAGCGGACACTCTCACCCTCTCAGTACCTTCTCTTCCCTTTGGCAGATTAGGGTCATTGGCTTGTTCCTATTCAGAATAAATCTGAAATTGTGGATCTCATAGACAGTCGGTATGACTCCTTGGACGGGAGATCAGCCCGTTGTAAATCCACTACCTACACAGGACAACAGAAACACAGACGACATACGTACATTCATGCTTCGAGTGGGATTTGAACCCACAATCCTAGTGTTTGAGCGGGCGAAGACACTTCATACCTTTTCTCTCGCTGTCACTGTGATTGGCCTGAATAACTTGCAAACGATAAAGAACATTTTATTATACCGCGGTATGTGTAATTTAAGTGTAGATACATTCAGGATTTAACTGTGGCCGTCGTAAAAGTGTTGTTGCTTATTTGAAAACTCGCCAGTAAAGAAGATACCTAGAATCGCGTGAAACGGGGGGTTTCATCATGTACGCCTATGGCGAAATGTTAAGACAAATATGACTGCTCGTTGCATAAATAAGGGTGCACCTAATCTCCAAACTCCCCTTGTGGAGATGGGTTAGGATGCCTCCACTGTAGCCCTGCGAGTTGTAGAAGGCGACGAAAAGGGAACCCAGTTCTTTGGGCCATAACCGAGCCACCCAGTCACTGGAGAACTTAAATAGAGAGACCTGGTCCTCCAGGTTGAGGGTTGGATGCAAGGCTAACAACTTTTTCTCTGTAAAAAATTATTGTTGTGAAATCCAAGGAAGTGAAATCAGAATGGTTTAATTCAAGATAAACGTTGCAAGAACTTCTAGGGAAGAACAAAGCTAAGAACGGGCTGTTTTCTCAATGATGACCATGAATTTCCAAACTTTTTCTGGAGCAATATATTTTACAGTTTCATTGTGCTTTCCCGCTTTCCCTTAAATCTCTGGGCGATTACATCAGGTAGGGTTTCGATATTAGCGTTCGTGGCATATGTCGCGGTGCTGTTTCTAATAAAAAAGTCGGAAAATCCAGAATTGAAATCTAAGCCCGGGGATTGGCTATTGTCCTAACTGAGGAATTTTTTTGTCTTTTCCAGGTCCCACCACAAAAATAAGGGAACAGCACCTCAAATTTGACGACTGTTTTATTTTATATAATTTTCAATTCATTGTTCAATCTTCATTAATCATCCTAGCATTCGACGCTATATAATCTAATTGACTGACACCTTCATTAAACAAACTTATGTACAGAGCGAATCAAACAAATAAAGCAATCGGTCACAATTTGCTTCAATGCAATCATACCTCTTGCAATACTCCACTGCGTGTCAGACGGCTCCCGACCTACCTTACCATGACTTACCTTGTTTAGAATATTTCTTCTTATCGGTACCGACGACTTTACTATCATATCTCTTCGTGATTAAATGTCAGTGACTTCGTCTGGTATTTTATACCTCCCTGACTAACGTCACTGAACTTTTCCGGTAGGTAAAGGTCTACATTATCATAATTTAACGTCGCAAATATATCAATCATTAATTAACTAAATGGACCAAATTTCTTCTTCACAAGCCAATAGTGGCTCATGTAATGAAGAAACTCTCGGCATTCTACGAAATTGTGTTTCACAAGAACCGTGTCCTGAACCGGAGGAACCCAGTTTATATCCTCGAAATCTGTTTCTTTATTGTAATAATTTGTTTTGGACAAAGCAAGCTACTTATTATGAACTTTGAAATAAAGACGGTACTTAACGAAAATAAGTTTATATTTACTAAAACATATGTTTACAATATGGCTGGCAAAAACCATAAGGCACACCAACAGAAATATACAAGCTAGAGAGAAACTTTCTGTTTTTATTAAAATATTCAATACCCAAAACCGTGACTCGTTGAATTTTTTTTTCCAGATATGGAATCAGCACAACAGAATTAATTTAAGATGTGGGTTTTCTTTTATTTCACCATAGCCTTGTTGCCTATAGTAATTTTATCCATAAATATTCTGAAAAATAAATTATTCATTGACTTTATTTGATATTTTATTTTATATTCGTATGTCGGCCATTTCCTAGCCTATTGTACCAGCCCCGGTTGATACATGTGTGTCTAGCAGTCGGTGGAATGAGAACTGCAGGGGAAATGGAAGTACTCGAAGAAAACCTGCCCCAGTACCACTTTGTCCACCACCAATTCCACATGACCTGACCTGGGATCGAACCTGGGCCGCTGTGGGGGAAATCCGGCATTAACCTCCTGAACAGATCGAAGGTGTTTCAGAGCGGGGTGCTGAGAGGAATATTTGGACCGAAATGATACGAAATAATAGGAACTTGGAGAAAATTCCACAAAGATGAGCTTCACAACCGCTACTCTTCATCAAATATAATTACAATGATCAAGTCAAGGAGGATAAGATGGGCATGGTATGTAGCATACACGGAGAGAAGAGAAGTGCATGTAGGATTTTGGTGGGAAAGCCAGAAGGAAAGAGACAACTAGGAAGACCTAAACGCAGGTGGAGGATAATATTAAAATATATCTGAGAGAAATGGGATGGGATGGAACGAACTGGATTCATCTGGATCGGGATAGGGACTAGCGCATAGCTATTGCAATATGGTACTGAACCTTCGGCTTCCATAAAGTACTGGTAAATTTCTTGAGCAGCTGAATACCTGATGGTTTCTCAAGAAGGACTCGGCCCCAGGGAGTTAGTTAACCTAGGAACGCAAGATCTAAGAACGAAACAGAATATTATGTAATTGTCGTCCAAATATGTTTATTGCCATTTTATTTGTGAAACAGACGAGAAAGAACAGAACACTGATAACCCTTTAAGCACAGTGGTTATTAAATAGTCCAACTTCTTTACTATGAAAGCATCCCCCATTTTCCGAATAGAATGTATCTTGGGGCTCTGTGTGGCTTTCACAATGCACAGCGATTACTTCGCTAACAGCTTTACGGAGATGCACCATGCTTCCTCTGAGACAGGGACTGAAATTTAAGTATTATTTAGCCAATTTTTTTGGCTCAAACACAGCCCTCTCAGTATAAACATCAAAATTTCGCCCTGACGCAGCCCTCTCAGTGTTACTGAATCTTTCCCTCTAATGCAGTCCTTGCAATTCAAATTCCCATCACATGCAGTAAAATGTAATGTCTCCCTCAGCCCCACTACTTCCTCCTTCCCTCCTCTCTTGTGCTTCGAAGGATGCAGATAGTTGAAAATCATTTTGTTCTTACAGAAAGTCATACTAACAATACGTTTTACATAATTTTAATTAGTCCTACAACCTTATAACCAGGGCCCGGATTTTGATGACATGTCATCTTTTTTTCCTTGTATCCTATGCGATGCTCTTAAATATATAAATCTCGGATATGAGCTGCTGGTTACAGAAATGTAAATTTTATAGGTATTTTTTTGTCAATTTTTGACATTTTTAGGTTTAAGGTAATTTTTTCATTTTGGGGGTAATTTTTTGGTAAATATTTGGACTTTTAAGGGGCTTTCTTGTCATTTTTGGCCATTTTAGGGAATTTTTCTTCATATGTTTTCTGAAATGTGAATAACATGGAAGTGAAGTGTTCTTTCTTTTCACCTTTAGGTCATTTTTCTGGATTTTTTCGGTCATTTTATAGGTCATTTTTTTAATATTTTCAGGTCATCAAAATCCGGCTTTAAAAGTTCTTACGGCATGTTTCGACCAAAAGTGGTCATCATCAGGTGTTAACAGTTTGTGATGAAACTGCTGTCTTTCTACGATGAAGCTCAGTTGTTGAACACATATGCACACTAGGGGAACCATACATCAACAGCTGAGCATCAACGCAGAAAGAAGGCAGTTTCCACACCCACAACTGTTAACACCTGATAATGACCACTTCTGGTCGAAACATACCGTAAGAACTTTTAAAGTGACTAGATTTTAATAAGTTTTAATACATTGTTGCATATGAGACTGTAGAACTAATTAACACTAAGTGAAAAGTGCAACAGGATACTACAATATAATATTACGTTTTATATAGTTATCTGTGGAATAAAACTGAATGCTCTATATTTTTTAACAGGACCGGTACACTTTTCAGCATTTTCTTCATAAAAATGTGGGGAGATTACAATTTTTCTTGGTTCAAAATTTCTTCATTGACGAGTTTAATGAGCTATCAAGCCGTTCGCAGTTTCTTTCATCTAACCTCATCCTATCAACAGTTCTATACAGAATATACACCTCTACAAGAATAGTATTTTCTTTTTGGAATGTTCTAAGAAAACTCTTATTCGAAATTTATGATAAAAACATTAAATATCTCAAATTTAGCAAGCTATGAAAAACATAAATTGTTATAGGAATATAAATTGAATATTATCTGCACTAAGAAAAACTGAATGAACTTGTATATCTGCCAGTAGGCCTAGAGTCAAACGTTAAAATAAAAAAAAAAATATATATAAACGCAGTAATTTACAATATGCGCTACTGATGAGTCAAGCATTTCTTAAGCCTGAATATAGTAAAGCTTATTTGTCAGGGCCATGTAGTCGAAATTTCGGGTATAACTTTCTTACATAAAACTAAAATGAAAAATTTGAAATAGAACAGAATGACAAATCGCAGTGCTCTGCAACAGTCGCCCATTGGGTCTACACTCTAAGGTGCATTAGAATTTCCTTAACGAAGAATTTTACGAATTTTTTGAAACCTACATCTCATGTTGATCATGTTTTGGGGCTCTGGATGTACTGCCGACGTTTAGGAGATCTTTCTTTCCCCCATCTTCGAAGTGGTCTCGTTGAGATATCGATGATACAGTCTGCATCTGCACCGTGACATCATCCAGAAACTGGATCCAGAGCCTCTGAGAAAACCTGTACTCTGTGGTGTCACTGAACAGTTGTAAACATTGAGTTTCGCCTGTTAGGGGCGTGTCACACTGTTGTACATTTAGCAACGTCATTTACAAACTGCTAGATTCCTGATGAACCAAAAACCAAGCGCAGTTTGAGCTCCTAAGGCCGAAATACACACTTCGTAACTACGAACTCTGCTACGTGGACTGATACTTGTCCCACAACAGGTATCTCCCTTACCGACAGACCCTGGAACCTGAAACAAAAAGCAAAATCGATAGGGCAAAAACAAAACAAGCAAACTCAGTGCCTTCAGTCCGCAAGCGAAATATACCGACCGAGCGACCGCCGCTTGTCGGCGAGGTTAGTGCCAACTTTAGCGGATAGAGGTTGTCGCGTGGTCAGCTCAACGAATCCCCAAGGCCGTTAATTTCGGTTTTCTAGACCGCAGCCGCTATTTCCTTGAAATAATTCCTAAATTATCCTCACGATGCTGAGTGGATCCCGTTCCAGACCCACTACTTCTCAGAAAATCTTGTAGCGCCGGGAATCGAACCCTGACCTCTGTACCTGTAGGCAGGAACTCTGACCACTAGACCACAGAGGCAGTCAAGAATCGGTTGGACACTAATAGTTTCTGTTACGGAAACTCGCCCCGGAACATCTGACTCCGTTTTCCTTGACCACAGCAGGGATGGCCAACCTTTAAGCTGCCTGGTGTCACATTTACGCCAAAAGTTACTCACCGATAAGAAGCTCCAATGCTTCCTGGTAAACTTATGACGTCTACTGCTATATGCCTTGAGACAGTCCTTCGACTCTTATCCTGTGCTTGTTTTTAACAGGGACATATATGAGACTATCTTTGTTTGTGGGAAGGTTTTTTAAATTTGACTTCAGGTCTTTCATTGTTCAAAAATAAATCCTACAAGATAACACAACTTTGTGCTTTCTTGTAGCCATTATTCCTGGGATAACTACACTTCTTACTATTCGGGGCAAGGGAAAGGGATTCCTTTGGCGCTACAGTCCAAATTTTGGCGTTGGCCTACCTCCATGAAACCCTCTGTTTCACTTCGGTTTACTAATCTTAGACATTCGGTAGGACTCCTTGGGCGGGCGATCAGCTCATTGCATGGCCTCTACCTGTACACAAAAACAGAAAATGCACACACGCACACACACACCAAATATCCATGCCCTGAGTGGGATTCGAACCCACAATCCCCGCTTCCGAATGAGCGGAGACAGTGCTTGCCTTAGACCGCTCGGCTACCGTGACAGGCTGAAAAGGAATTATGGATTGGTAACAATTATGAAATGGCTCCAGGTGCCAATATGGACAACATCTGAAATCATCAGTGCCAGTCAATATTTCAGAACATGTCAAATTTGTCACTGGTGCAAATGCTGAGCAGAGTTTCTGATGCAGAAATGGTTAGTTGCATATGTTGATTATGGATCGGATTTCGCTGAAAAAATGCAGATTTTCTTTGGTAATAAGGAATACTGAGTTATCGCACACGTGATTGGAAGAGGCCGACACTAAGCCCGTCAAGTCGAGTCAACCCACAATGCAGAAGCTGGATTCATGTTGACCTGTCTAGAAAACTCACAGTACATCCAGGCTGAATCTGTAAAAAATACTAACTTATCAAGAGTCGTTATGATATATGGCAAAATTCAAACAGTGCACCGTGTGATTTTGTTCATATATCAGAACACCTCTGTCGTCACTGGAAATTTTGCTGGAAATAATTTTTGGGAAGACCTTTCATAATCTCCGTCACATTACACTGTATTTCGGTAACACATTCAAAATGAAATCCTTAGAATTCAATTTTCAGTTCTGGAAAGCGAAAGCGCGTCTGAGCAAGTATGGTACTTTCCAACAGCGGTTAATTTTTAGCACTTGTTTCAGTCCTTATTTAGCTATGATAATCTGCCACGCAGGAACAGAAAAATGTAAAATATCTGGTACAAAGTGTCCAAATATTGGCGTGTCACACACTGATCTGCCATGATTCATGATAAAGCAGAATGGCAAAGAACAAAACTTTTAGTTTAGCAAATAAATTCCAGGAATATAACTCCAGCGTAGAAACTTCCGTTTACAGTGCCTAAAATATTTATTGCAAATCTCGTGTTTGTCATGCATTGTTATATTAAATGCCAAGTAAGTGAGGAAAATTATAAAAAAGCAAAAAATATTTCAGCAGCGCTCTCAGAATTGCTAATATCTGTAACAAGATGTTTAGAAACATCCGTGAGAGAAATTAATCCTCGAAACTGTGAATCAGAAATAAAATTGCAAGGAAACAAAAACAATTTATTCTTCCCCGCCTGTTACATAAAATATAGAATGATCAAGTCAAGGAGGATGAGGTGGGCAAGGCATGTAGCACGAATGTGAGAGACGAGGAATGCGTATAGGATTTTGGTGGGAAAGCCAGAAGGAAAGAGACCACTAGGAAGACCAAGGCGTAGGTGGGTGGACAATGTTAGAATGGATCTTAGAGAGATAGGATGGGATGGTAATGACTGGATTGATCTGGCTCAGGATATGGACCAGTGGAGGGCTCTTGTGAACAGGGTAATGAACCTTCGGGTTCCATAAAATGTTGGAAAATTCTTGAGTAGCTGCAGAATTGGCGGCTCCTCCAGAAGGGCTCAGCTGCATGAGTAAGTACGTAAGTTACATAAAATAAAATTGGATGATTTGATAATTTCTGATGATGTTTCTTAAAATATATTTCAAAATTTTATGTTCTGAATCACAAGTCCGAAAGAAATAAATCGGAATATGATTATTAATTTTTAACAGAATTTTACATAAAATCATTGGCACTAATTAGTTAATATTATTATTAACTGCATGGTAATTAAATCCGTGCAGAAAGAAATAATTTAAATCGCAAGAAATAAGAAATGTAAAGAATACCATTCTTCATGTATTTATATTTCCCTTATTTTCTTTTTAATTTCAGTCGGCAGTTTGGTAGAATTGAATAATTACTGGTGTATTGTGTGACAGCCGATCACGGTGACTGTGCGGTCTAAGGCATGAACTGTCTTTGCTCGCTCGAACGCTTGTATCGTGGGTCTTAATCCCACTCGAGGCTTGGATGTGTGTGTGTGTGTGTGTGTGCGTTTATTCTGTGTTTGTGTTGTCCTTTGTGTAGGTAGCGGCCTTCAGACAGGCTGATCACTCGTCCAAGGAGTCCTACCGTCTGTGTAAAAAAAAGGTTGCGGAATTGAAGAAGTGGCCAGGGCCCATGTAGAGCTATTGATGGATGAATGAATGAATGAATGAATGAATGAATGAATGAATGAATGAATATTGTGTCAGGAACTAAAGAGAGGGAGAGACAAAGTTCATAGAACGTGTCAGACAAGCGGCTTTATACGTCTGTTTCGAATATTCTTTCCTTGCTAGTGGGGTGGGACTAAGTCCCTTGTACTGCGGCCACTTCTGGACTATTGCACCAGCCCCAGATGATAGGTGAGGGTGATTGTGGAGCAACTGGTGGAATGAAGATTGGCAGGGGAAACCGAAGTACTCGGAGAAAACCTACCCCAGCGCCACTTTGTCCACTACAAATCTCACTTGACCAGACCGGTAGGAAGCCAGCGACTAACCGCTTGAGCTATGGCGCGGCCTCTGTTTGGAATAAGAACTGTAGGAATTACGAAGTCCGTGTATGCGACTCGTACCGTAAACAGAACTTCGGAATAAAGGTCGATTAGCCACACTTTGAGCAATCGAACACGTTGTTTGAATGACTAATCATGTCTGCCAGATATTTACGAAGTGGCCACTAAACAGGTGGCTACCCCAGGTGTGCTGTGTGACGCAATATCTGGGTGCACTTGTACTCACTCGGTACAACCACACAGGATGGATTCACACACACCACGTGTCTTCGTCAAGTTGCTGTGAGTCACATGACATCTGGTGCGACGAGTGCAAAACCTAGTTCATATTGAGCCGACAGATTTAGGGTTGATGTCCTGATTATTGAACGACATTTTTCAACAACATACACCTCACACCCCGAATGAGATACGATGAAGGCCGTAAGATCTGGCCGAAGCCTCTACTTCCCCATCCGCAGAAATCATTAAGAAACCTCTGTTACGTTATTCATCGGTATCCACTCCACACTCGAATCCGGGACATCCCAAATACAAATCTAACGTGTTATGTTTTCATTAGGCCGCGCCATAGCACAAGCGGTTAGTCGCTGGCTTCCCACCGCGGCGGCCCGGGTTCGATCCTGGGTCTGGTCAAGTGGGATTTGTGGTGGACAAAGTGGCACTGGGGCAGGTTTCCGCAAAGTACTTCGGTTTCCCCTGCCAATATTCTTTCCACCAATTGCTCCACAGTCACCCTCACCTATCATCTGAGGCTGGTACAATAGGCCAGAAATGGCCGCAGTACAAGGGATTTAGTCGCACCCCACTAGCAATAAAAATAATATATTTTCATTAACGGTAAGGAAGCTGCAAAATTTTGAAGGCTCACAACTCCGAGCCAGTATCTATCCTACTCAAACTGCGTCAGTGCACATGCGCAATATTCCTGTTATGATATCATGTCTACTCTCTTCCGTCTGGACGAAACAGACAGTGTCTGTAGGGTCCTCGCAGGAACTTCACAGAATGGCGGCCAGTACGAAGCCATGTGTTTTATGTTTGACCGCCCTTCCGGTCTAGTGGTCAGAGTTCCCGGCTACAGACCCAGAGGTCCCGGGTTCGATTCCTGGAGCTACAACATTTTCTGAGAAGTAGTGGGTCTGGAACGGGGTCAACTCAGCCTCATGAGGAGAATTGAGGAGCTATCCGGCCTAGAAAACCGGGATTAACGGCCGCGGAGATCCGTTGCGCTGACCACGCGACACCCTCTGTCCGCAAAAGTTGTCACAAGATCTTCGACAAGCGACGGTAGTTCGCTCGGTCGGAATAGTTCGTTTGCGGACGAATGCCACGGAGTATTTTTTGTTTTGTTTTGTTTTATGTCCACTCTATAGACACCGTGAGAGCAATATAAGGCAGTTATATCTGTAACCACGAGGTTTGTTTTCATTTTTCGTGACTGCTAGGTTGTGTACGAGGGGAAGCATAGCAGGAGTAGTGGGTGTTGTGTTAAGCCTCAAGAAAGGGCTGGTTCGGAGGATTCACAGCTTCTCCTTGTCTAAACCTCGTGTTCCCTTAATCCTTGTTGCGCATTCAAATGACATCGGTCACGCTTAAAGAACAGAAACCTACATTCTGATGTCCAATTACGTTTACAGACATTCTGTCTGTTTACTAACGGACTGCCCATAGGAAAGAGTGTGAGCCGTCATATTCCTTGTACTGGGTGTCGAACCCGGCCATCAGACCCATAGTGGGTCATTTTATTGACTGAGTTATTTCAGCTCGCCATTTAGGATCATTTATTACTGAGTCTTTAACGAAGACGGTCCAACTACAGTCATTATGTAAGGTCGAATTAGACGAACAGATACAACTGTTGACTTTTGGACATTATCCGCCGTCCTGTTTTTATTTAAAGACAACGTTCCGAGGACTGGAGGCTGCCTCCGTCCTCAGATCATTGTTCTTGTTTCGTAAACATGTTGTTAGGGTGCTTGAACTGGGCTCCTGCACTTTAAGACGATGCACAATGCAACTCAATGAAACACAACCAGAGCCACTCACTGTACTTCTTCAACTGAACTTCTGCTATCAGCTACAGACGGCGCTAGTGCCACCTGACGCACATCTTTCATGTTACAACAGTGTCGCCACTACTTTTTATTGAACCCTTGTATTAGGCCAAACTGAGCAAGCTTTTGCCTTAGCACGGAGATGACGTCCGGTCTCCGAAACCTTGTTTTTAAATAAAAATAGGATAATGTCCAAAAGGTCAATAACTGCATTAATATACCTCCGCCACAGGCTTTTAGACCTTATTTGCGAAGAGATGACCAAAGTGTTAAGGATTTGGAGAGAGGGAATTATGGCATACTTGAAGATATTTTTCCCAAGTCACTTCGAGAAGCAGGGGAAAGTGAAGGAGAACTTGAGTTGGGATAGCCGATAGTCTATCCGATAACTGAAGCGGATAGCTCCGGAGAACGGGGTCATTTGTCACAGTTCTCACCTTATCGTCAAGTACATTAACTGAAATTACTTCATTCTGATAAAAGGGGGGGAAAAAAAAGTGAGTGCCGGAGATGCTGGCACGTCAGGGGCATGCGCACCTGATGCACTGAATCCTACATGTCTCAATGCAGCAGTTTTAGAATTTAACAACCGACAGTTCCACTGCCCAATTTACACATATGAAGACACGCGGTAGCGTAGGTGTGAGACACTATACTAGAAGCCGGAAGGTCGCAGATTCGACTCCCCATGAGGTGCATTTCTTCAGTTGACCTAACCCTTCGAGCTGCACTATGGCCCTGGGGTCGACTCAGCCTCTAACAGAAATGAGTATCAGGAATCTTCGGGGGGGGGGGGTTAAAAGGCTGCCAGCGCGTAAAGCTGACCTTACAGCCATCTGTGAGCCGAAAGTCTAAAGAAAATGTGGGAGTCTCGATGCCTCACAACCCTATGGGCCTTTACGGCCTGTTACAGGGATAGCTTTACGTTTACCTTTTTTTTTTACTTTACACACCTGAATGACGTAGAACGCTTTTGTACGTTTTCGTGCAATATGGTTAGAATACTGTTGTATGTCGTTAGGTTACACACTATATTCCAAGTAACTTCTATTTACTGGAACTGGATTCATTCAACCTGCACCAGGGTTTTGACACTGCGTTTCCGCGAACAAGGTGAACTACTGTATTCTTAGGAAATTTCTTGATGAGATCAGCGACCATTAACTGCTCCTGAAAGCCTTGAGCGGGGAGTCACTTAGATTCTGAGGAATTTATCAATTTTCCACGTGGTGGAATTCCAAACGACGTGTTCTATGTGTGGTGTGGCATGTACATCTGCATGCTACTGTATTTCTACACACGGTTCATGCTGATTTATTATATTTCTTATATATATATATAATAGAACAATTTAGGGGCAAGTAACGAATATCGACAGTAACAGACTGGTATAATGTTAAGATTAAAACTGACAGCTCCCGAAAACAGCGCCACTAATCCTATATCAAAGATTGTTAGCCATAACACAACGCTTCGCACCACCATGTATGATGTGTTTAACGTAACGCTTCACACAACTTTGTGTCTACGTTCATAGTCGTTGTTCACGCCAGTCGTTCTTAGTTAGCTACATGTAAAAGGTAAACTTGTACCTCTGATTAACTAATTAAGCACTACGCCATGAAGGCGTATGTGGGAGTGGATGTAGATCCACATTTTCTTGACCTCGTCACTAATTTGAGGTGAGTGGTCAGCTTCACGCCCCGGCCGCTTTACTCCCAGGGAAAGAGCCCCCGGTACCCATTGGTTAGGGGGTTGGGTGGACCCCAGTCACTATGGAGAAGAGAGAAATGTCTTAATCTTGCCAGCAATAGAAACCCAGTTCCTCTGTTGTCCAGTCCGAAGCCAGGTAGCTGAACTGACTGAGTTACTCCTGGAGCTTCAGTACCGGTACTGGAGTTAGCGTCCTTCCCTTCACCAGCACTGCACCCAGACGGGTATGGCACTGCTGTAACAGTGCTTTCCATGGAGTCCTGTTTGATAGTTGAATATTGTTCAAATTCTTTAAGACGTCTTCGTAACTCCCAATGCATTTCTCTACCTTCGTACATTTAGTAAATGCTGATACAACACACTAGACCCTATCTCTGTTTCAGTACTGTAGACGTGACATGACTGCGGGCCGGTAAACTTGTACGCTCCTTCAGGTCCAAGTGCAACATATCCATTCCTGTAATTCTTTTTATTGCTAGTGGGGTGGGACTAAGTCCCTTGTACTGCGGCCACTTCTGGCCTATTGTACCAGCCCCAGATGATAGGTGAGGGTGATTCTGGGGCAATTGGTGGAATGAAGATTGGCAGGGGAAACCGAAGTACTGGGAGAAACCCGCCCCAGCGCCACTTTGTCCATCATAAATCCCACTTGACCAGACCCGGGATCGAAACCGGGCCGCCGCGGTGGGAAGCCAGCGACTAACAGCTTGAGCTATGGCGTGGCCTTCCATTCCTGTAAGGCTTCACAGTGCAGCTCAACAGCCGTGATATTGCTGCGACCTAGTACGGGCGTTACCTCCGGTCAAGGTAGCCGAGCGGTCTAGGGCATGTACTGTCTTCGCTCGATCGGAAGCCGGGATCGTGGGTTCGAATCTCACTCAGGGCATGGATGTTCAGTGTTTTTGTGTGTGTGTGTGTGCATTTTTTCTGTGTTTCTGTACAGGTAGAGGCCTTGCGACGAGCTGATCAGCCGCCCAAGGAATTCTACCGAATGCCTAAGATCTAGTAAACAGAACTGAAGAGGAGAATTTTGTGGAGGAAGGCCAAGGCCCAAATTTGGGCCGTAGCGCCAAAGGGGGGGGGAGTATGGGCGTATGTACTCAGTACGTTCTGCTAAGTCCACCTTCAGCATAAACATAACAGGGGACAATTAATTGGGTTCCGCTACAGACCGGCCCAACTTATAATGCATTTGTGTTACATGCTTACGTCGAGAAAAGCCTTAGGTACTCTTGTGTGAATACAACTTTCTGCGTCCTCATTGAGGGATATTTTGCTTGGTGCTGGTTATGTATACGTTTTCTTACGACGTGTCTCACTCTGCATTGCAGAACTATTGGACATGCCAATGATCTGACATTCCTGAAGACACGTATTTAGCCAGCTCTGCGACAGGAATACACTTGTATCATATCTCACCTTGAAATTCAGTAGGCCTCCTCTTTCGCCTCCTGTTGAAGTCTCTTTATGTACAGTTGACGCACATACCAAGAGCCACCCGCCGCCACCAGCAAGAAGGCGATTCCTACAGCCACACCCACTGCGATGGCGCGTATCTGTCTGTAGCCTGGCACGTGTAACATGTACTTATTGCTTGCAGCTTGGAAGTCGTTATGCGACACCGCCAGGACCTCGAAGTAGTACGTCTTGTCCTCTTCCAGGCTCGGCACTGCGAGAAACGGGGAACAGAGTAAGGGGTCAAGACTTATCATGGCGGACTTTCGTCTTCAGTTGTATGTTCCACACGAACAGTAAAGCATGAATATATTACAGAAGAGCTTTCCTTACACTCACACTATCAAACACTCCCAGGGCAAATATAGAAGTTGTTTCTAAACGAGGTACCTCGTTCCTAGCATAGAAAAAGGTTAATTGCAGATGTAACTAAGCGACAGGTATCCCTTACAAAAAAAACAATCTTCGTGGTTTTTAGTCCGCAAGCGAACTATACCGACGGGAGCGACCGCCGCTTGTCGGCGAAGTTAATGCAAGTTTAGTAGATAGATGGTGTCGCGTGGTCAGCGCAACGGATTCCCATGGCCGTTAATATCGGTTTTCTAGACCGCAGCCGCTACTTTTCCATTCAAGTAGCTCCTCAATGATCCTCATGAGGCTGAGTGGACCCCGTTCCAGACCCACTACTTCTCAGGAAATCTGGTAGCGCCGGGAATCAAACCCGAGACCTCTGGATCTCTAGGCAGGAACTCTGACCACCATCCCTTACAAGAATATTTACTGCTACTCAATTAAACTATCTGAATTTACAATTAGTCGAACACGCTTCATAACAGTTAATGACAAGTGAACGTGACGTTATAACTTACTCATGACATGAGATTATAATAGTACTTAATAATAGACAGAGCTACTGGGTTTTCGGACTTTATCCATTGTCCGGATTCTAAGTAACTAAGAAAGAAACACAATATTCCGGAAACTGGATCTGTTTCCGTCCTCAGGTGAGGAAAGACACCTACTCTGTTGGGTCCCTTAGAAAGAGCTAGCCTCAATCACTGGCCCTCACCTGAGGATGGAAACAGATCCAGTTTCCGAAACGTTGTGTCTCTTCTTAGTTACTTAGAATCCGGACGATGGACAAAGTCCGAAAACCCAGTATCTCTGTGTGTTATACACCATCGTCAGAGCCCTATAGTATCTAGTAGTACTTAATAATGCTTAATGACAAATACTCGTACATTCTTGCAGCGAAGTTTGTGGGCCCGCGTGAAACTTTGGTTATACTGTATTATGCAAGTCACACGTACATTTTTATTCTTTCTAGCACCATCTTCCGTCCTTTGAGCCTGATGTTTTCATAAGCTTCGGAATATTGAACAGGTAACTGATTATGTGTGCCGGTCACGGTAGCCGAGCGGTCTAAGGCATGCACTGTCTTCGCTCGCTCGGAAGCCGGGATCGTGGGTTCGAATCCCACTCAGGGCATGGATGTTTGTGTGCGTTTTACTGTGTTTGTCTACAGGTAGAGGCCTTGCGGCGAGCTGATCACTCGCCCAAGGAGTCCTACCGATTGTGTAAGATCTAGAAAAACCGAAGTGAACGGAGAAGTTCATGGAGGTAGGCCTAGGCCCACTGGGGCTCTAGTGCCAAGGGGGGGGGGAAACTGATTCTGTGTAATTTTATGGTTAGTAATTAATCTTGAATGCCAGAACAATCTTCATGAAAGTTGGTATATACGTATATCATGCCATCTGAGGCCATGTCAACGGTGGATCTCATAAATCACTCCCATCAGTAATACCAACATTGGGCCGCGTCATAGCTCAAGCGGTTAGTCGCTGGCCGCCCACCGCGTCGGCACGGGTTCGATCCCGGGTCTGGTCAAGTGGGATTTGTGGTGGACAAAGTGGCGATGGGGCGGGTTTTCTCCGAGTACCTCGTTTTCCCCTGCCAATCTTCGTTCCACCAAATTCTCCACCATCATAATCACCCGGGGCAGGCTACAGTAGGCCAATCAGAGATCGCCGTGCCGAGTGGACCCAGCTGGACTCCACGAACACTGCAGCCTCCCAGATTATTCTGCTTAATACGAGTAGACTTCATTACGCGTACATACAAAAGATTTTTCTACTTGTACGTTACCGCCATGTGCCGCTGGGGAGGTAGGGATCCTCCGTTGCGCAACATGTCACAATATATTAAAATTACAATGACAAAAATGTAGGCAATTCGTTCTTCCAAGAACTTCTTGCTATTTATGTGCCTACTTTCCTTATTTTATGAGATCACCATGCTGTCTGTGTGTCCCTTCCTACTAACTTTTGAATGCCTGAATGAATCTTTACAAAAATTGGTTACTTATATCATGGCACCTTAACCCATCTCAACGGCGTACTTTACAAATTCCCCCCATCAGTCTGTGTCTGTATGTGTATGCCCTTATGGCTGCTAGGCAACGGCTCGTTAGAAACGTTACCAGGGCAACGACTACACAAGCAACAATTGAAGAATTGTTGGACACGTTGTTTTATGTGCGGTCCGTGTCGTATCAAACGAAGGTAGGTTATTAGTTCTTCCCAGAACTTCTTGTTTCATTTTACATAATGCAGAATTACTTGGTACTGGGAAATTGTTTTCTTACAAAAATGAAACAATTACAGCAAGAGATGATAAAATTGTATATCACATAGTATTAAAAATCAATAGATCGAAATACAAAATAAGACGCATAATTAATGATGCTTACACTAGAGTTTTGGCAACCCGAAGACAGAAGCCCTACGCCTCTGAAGCCTGGCTGACCAAGCCCCCCCCCATAATACCTCCATGCTGAACAAATATACGAGTAATATATGGAGGTCGTAACCTTTGTAATAACATTTTAACATAGCTATGGTTAAAATGCCGCTGAAATCCAAAGGGTGATTAAAATGAATGCGATACTTTGGTAAGAATGTCATAGAGACTGATTATTTCTCAACCCTGTCAAAATAACGCGTCATTACTAGGCCTCACATCCACGTGTTTATTTGGGACAGTTAAAGAGATCTAAAGGTCTGAACACAGGGTCACCTATAAACATGGTGTCCTGGGTTTCCGCGCTGCCGTAGAAGTACTCCATGGACGCCTGGGTCCATCGGACTCTGTATTCCCGGAGTTCGTCACGACCGAATTCCGGGGGCTGCCACGTGACCAAGTAACCGTCTGCTGTCAGACTCACGGATACATTCCGAGGCGGGCCGATCTGCTGGAACTGACCTGGAACAATCATTCGATCCTTGAGTATGTACCCTTGGAACGCCTTTGGTTTGTAGAACAATTACGCGGTTTGCTGAAACTGGTCAAAGTTCCCCCCCCCCCTCAAATTTGCTGGAAAATCGGTCTATCTGCTGGAACTGAAATTGATGCAGTCTCATGAATTTTGGTATTTACTCGGGGAAAATCACGAGATCTGCTTCAACTGTCCTCTTCCTACGCGTGACTCGGTGTCATCTGCCAGAACTTGACCAAAACTAACCTGCTGACTAGACAAGGCCAATTGCTGTGGTGTAGAGGAAAATAACACAGCCTGCGTCAACGATGATGTTATCGTCAGAAAATGGACTACATCATGTGGTTTTCATTAATTAATCAACATTAATAATTTCACCAACTGGCGGAAATTCAAATTTAGGTACGCATTTTTATGCTCTCTAAATGAAAAATTATAAATAGGACTGCCTGTATAGGGACTATTGTATACAAAAATATAAAAGTTACCTTCTCTGTGTAAGATTTGAGGTTTTCACGACTGTGACTATGAAGAATGCCGTCTTCTGGGATGTGGCGCCGTGCAGATCCTGTGTAAACCGACGTTTCGGAGGAACATCGGTTCGCACAGGATTTCACGGCGACACATCCCAGAAGACGGCATTCTTCTTAACTTCTCTACTTTTGAATCTGACGAAGTGCGCTGTCAGAGGTGAACCCCCAGCAGAAAACCGAACCTGTGGCAATGCGCTGGCAGGCCGAGCCTGACGCACAATTCAGAGGTGACGATAAATGTGTTTTCGCACCACAGTCACCCTGAGAGCAGAAAAAAGAATCCCAGATTATGGTCTTATGGGATGTGATATCATAAAGTCTCGAAGAAATGTACTAAAATTTCGGAAGAACATGTTACTTCAGTCTTCGGAGAAACAGTTAAATTTTAGACCCTAAAAATAGAGGCAGTACTTTCCTCCGAAACGTCGGTATGTTCGAGTAAATACCAAATTAGAAGTCATCGCCTTTCAGAAGGCCGTTATATCAATAACCACTTTTCACAGTGAGGGCCTTAAACCTCACAAATACGCCTTAATGCTTAACATTTAGCAACTGTGAACTTCAAGGGCCGCGCCATACCTCAAGCGGTTAGTCGCTGGCTTCCTACCGCTGCAGCCCGAGTTCGACCCCGGGTCTGGTCAAATGGGATTTGTGGTGGACAAAGTGGCACTGGGGCAGGTTTTCTCCGAGTACTTCGGTTTCCCCTGCCAATCTTCATTCCACCAATTGCTGCACAATCACCCTCACCTATCATCTTGGGCTGGTACAATAGGCCAGAAGTGGCCGCAGTACAAGGGACTTAGTCCCACCCCACTACCATTAAAAAAATGTAAACCTCTACAAAAGCATGGACTAGGAGGCTCATATTCCATATCGGCGAGGGGCACACACCATACATGAACTGGTCCCAGTTTCAGACTTGTGTTTTACTCACCCAGCGGCGTTGTTTCATGCAAGGAGACATTGTTACTCCTCCATCCTGCAAAGAAAAAAGCACTTTATCACTAGTGTTCAATAGGACGCAATTACACTATTACAGAATTGAAACACGACGTCGGGTGGCTATTATTTGCACGGTAGTGAGCACGTTCAAGTTGTGAGAGCTAAAGCAATCAGCGTGAGGCTCTGTAATTCGCATTATCCAATTTCACGATTTAATGCAGATCATCTGAGGGATGTGCTGATGTCACAGCGGTGGTTAAGAAGAGTTCCTCTGGCAGAAAGCGACGCTATACTTTCTGCAGGCTACATGCTGGTTTCTTGCTTTTCTTACACTTCTACCATAAAGCTTAAAGTGACATATTCCTCCGAAACGCCGGTTGAACTTCAACGGAATACATGGCGTTATATCCCAGAATATTGAACTCTTCAAAACTACCGCTGTGAAAACCTCAAATCCTATGACACGACTATTTCCTTTTAAAATCCTTTCAGTTCACTACTACTAATCAGCCGACTATTCGATATTATCTACTTACAGATACAGTGTCGTTAAGTAAACCAAAAATAAATAAAGAAAATCAAAGTCCACACATGTTCCAACCAGATGCGTTTGTGTGGTCATTACTCATTTTTATGGCCTGTCAGTCTATCTGTCTATCTATCTATGGCTCTACAGTCCTTTTGGGCTTTGTCCGTTTTTTCAGTTTCTTAATCCACACAAGGTCGGTAGGATTGCTCAGACGGGTAATCAGCCCATTGCAAGGCCGCTGTCTTCATACAGAACAACACGAACACAGAATAAACACAGACATCCACGCCTCGCGTGGGATTCGAACCCAAGATCCCAGTGTTCGAGAGGGCGAATACGCTTCATGCCTCAGACCGTGCGGCCACTGGGACCGCTGATCGGCTTATGGTGCTGTCAGTACCCCAGACTCTACAGAGTCGAATGGTAAGGTAAGTAATGCATTGTGAATTTGAAACGCTGAGTGAACAAGCTGCCATGACATTTATAAGGACACTATTCCCGCATTTGTCTCTAGGGAAACCACGAAAACCTAGTCAGGATAGTCGATGTCCGACCGGAATTCAAACCGGACATCTCCCGAATACAAGCCAGAATCGCTACTGCTCGAGCCAAAGTGCTCTGTTAAATATTGATGTTGCAGCTTCAGAGGATACTCACAGTGGGATCAGCTGGAAAGATGATTTATAATGTCACGTGGGTATGCAGTTGGCAAGAGATGGCCGTCATATATTTGGACCTACGTTTTTTTCGAAATTCGCTCCAACACATGAGTGTGTATGACATGATATTCATTACCCAATCGAGATTCGAACCAGGTAACTTCCGAATACAATGCTGCAGGTTTTCCGCTACTCGGACCGAGTAAGTTGGTTTATTGATAACATTTTATACTCGTGTCCCGGGGGTGCTCGGTTCGAATCTTGGCGGATACATCGACTATTCTGATTGAGTTCTTGTTTTCTTTCCTCTTGCTCCCACTTTGGAGCACAGGGCTGATTTCTCAGTTTCATGATCATTTTACAGACGGTAGGGCTCCTTGGACGGGTGATCATCTCGTCGCAAGGCCTCTACCTAAACACAGGACAACACAAACGCAGACTAAACGCATACACATACCAAACATCCATGCCTTGTGTGGGATTCGAACCCACGATCCCGGCTTCCGAGCGAGCGAAGACTGTACATGCCTAAATGGGCCCATACACGTACGAGTCTGGTTCGCGAGTCCGGCTCGGCGAGCTTGACTCCGGAGCCGGGCTCGGATTTATTTCACGACACACTCATGAGCTGACTCCAAACTTTGCGACCCACACACGGACGAGTTTGGCTCATTGGAACCCGAGCCGAGTCGGACTCGCGAGCCAGACTCGTACGTGTATGGGGCCCTTTAGACCGTTCTGCTACCGTGACCGGCGAATGAGGTTTTAGTGGTTTTCATTAGTGACTACCAGGAAATTATGGCGAAAGTACCTCGAGTAGACCACGACCTTTTAATTTAAAGTCCTTTTCATTAGTCGTCAGTCGTCCTACCCCTCGCTACGTAGTGCGGGGCAGCGACAGCCTCGTGAATTAAACCACGCACAAAAACGAACAGACGCTCTTTAGTTAATAAACCAGTGAAAGGAACAAGCAGTGAGGTATCCATATTGTCGAGCAGCTGCGCCAAGAGTAGACGTGCCTTTGGTAGAGACACGGATGGCCTTGCTGAACATGCCGTCGCCATGTCTGTCCTGGCTCAGCACCATAAACTCGTACAGACGTCCGGGGCTCAGGTTCGAGACCGTCTTCTGGTTCGCGCCTTGGTTCGTAATCTTCGTGGTCCGCCACTCGGGAGTGTCCGCGGCTCGGTACCTGTAAGAGGAGTGTCTGAGGATTATGTACAAATTTATTCCATGGTACATTTGATAGTATATTCACCCGAAGAGACTGAGGAAGCACAATAACTTTCAAGTGAGAATAGCTGTCAATCCGGGCTAGACTCTAGAGAAGGTTCTCTCAAAGGGTAGCTCACTGCGGAAGGGGTCTGAAGCTTTACAGCACAACACACTGATATACGCGCAGATTTCCTGGCCACGGCTTATGAAGAGTTAGAAAATAAACGTTTGAAATGTGGGATTAATCCAAATGTACTCTGTCATGACGAAATAGTTTAACAAGAGGTGTCATCCGTTGCTGGGCAATGGCACGGTAACGCGCTCCTACTTCAGCAAACAAACAGGCCATTGTTAGGCAACGAATAAACATGCAACAGTAGAGGAGTTGTTAGTGGCGGCGTTTTCTATACGGTCCGACCCCAGGCAATTTAAAAGACTGTGCTGAAGAGAGCAGATACCTACATTTTAAAATTACAGCACCTGTTAAACAAGGCTCCCTGCACAAATGGAAATTTTCCGTGGTGCACATCGGTCCGCGAGTTGCACATGGCTATCAACTTTCCATATGTTTAAGATTATGCAACAAAATTGTGCAGGCAACAAACAGAAGTCATACAAAATTATGAGAATGAAAATGTTCACAGCATAGGGAAAGGAGCAGCCAGATTTAGATAATATAAGAGGCTTAAACTTGACGACGGTCAAGCTTACGACCGTTCAACTGGATAAGCTACCGTTGTAGCATAAGATAAAGTACACTGTTCACATTCAGTAATTACCAGACGCTGTACTGTAGAGTGACCCTGTTCACATCAGTACTCACCAGACACTATACAGTGACCCTGTTCACACTTAGTACTCACCAGACACTATACAGTGACCCTGTTCACATCAGTACTCACCAGACACTCTACAGTGACCCTGTTCACACTTAGTACTCATCAGACATTATACAGTGTCCTTGTTCACACCAGTAGGCCTACTCACTAGATGCTGCACTGCACAGTGACTCTGATCACACCAGTAGGCCTACTCACTATGTGCTGCACTGCACAGTGACCCTGATCACAGCAGTAGGCCTACTCACTAGATGCTGCACTGCACAGTGACTCTGATCACAGCAGTAGGCTTACTCACGAGATGCTGCACTGCACAGTGACTCTGATCACAGCAGTAGGCTTACTCACGAGATGCTGCACTGCACAGTGACTCTGATCACAGCAGTAGGCTTACTCACGAGATGCTGCACTGCACAGTGACTCTGATCACAGCAGTAGGCTTACTCACGAGATGCTGCACTGCACAGTGACTCTGATCACAGCAGTAGGCTTACTCACGAGATGCTGCACTGCACAGTGACTCTGATCACAGCAGTAGGCTTACTCACGAGATGCTGCACTGCACAGTGACTCTGATCACAGCAGTAGGCTTACTCACGAGATGCTGCACTGCACAGTGACTCTGATCACAGCAGTAGGCTTACTCACGAGATGCTGCACTGCACAGTGACTCTGATCACAGCAGTAGGCTTACTCACGAGATGCTGCACTGCACAGTGACTCTGATCACAGCAGTAGGCTTACTCACGAGATGCTGCACTGCACAGTGACTCTGATCACAGCAGTAGGCTTACTCACGAGATGCTGCACTGCACAGTGACTCTGATCACAGCAGTAGGCTTACTCACGAGATGCTGCACTGCACAGTGACTCTGATCACAGCAGTAGGCTTACTCACGAGATGCTGCACTGCACAGTGACTCTGATCACAGCAGTAGGCTTACTCACGAGATGCTGCACTGCACAGTGACTCTGATCACAGCAGTAGGCTTACTCACGAGATGCTGCACTGCACAGTGACTCTGATCACAGCAGTAGGCTTACTCACGAGATGCTGCACTGCACAGTGACTCTGATCACAGCAGTAGGCTTACTCACGAGATGCTGCACTGCACAGTGACTCTGATCACAGCAGTAGGCTTACTCACGAGATGCTGCACTGCACAGTGACTCTGATCACAGCAGTAGGCTTACTCACGAGATGCTGCACTGCACAGTGACTCTGATCACAGCAGTAGGCTTACTCACGAGATGCTGCACTGCACAGTGACTCTGATCACAGCAGTAGGCTTACTCACGAGATGCTGCACTGCACAGTGACTCTGATCACAGCAGTAGGCTTACTCACGAGATGCTGCACTGCACAGTGACTCTGATCACAGCAGTAGGCTTACTCACGAGATGCTGCACTGCACAGTGACTCTGATCACAGCAGTAGGCTTACTCACGAGATGCTGCACTGCACAGTGACTCTGATCACAGCAGTAGGCTTACTCACGAGATGCTGCACTGCACAGTGACTCTGATCACAGCAGTAGGCTTACTCACGAGATGCTGCACTGCACAGTGACTCTGATCACAGCAGTAGGCTTACTCACGAGATGCTGCACTGCACAGTGACTCTGATCACAGCAGTAGGCTTACTCACGAGATGCTGCACTGCACAGTGACTCTGATCACAGCAGTAGGCTTACTCACGAGATGCTGCACTGCACAGTGACTCTGATCACAGCAGTAGGCTTACTCACGAGATGCTGCACTGCACAGTGACTCTGATCACAGCAGTAGGCTTACTCACGAGATGCTGCACTGCACAGTGACTCTGATCACAGCAGTAGGCTTACTCACGAGATGCTGCACTGCACAGTGACTCTGATCACAGCAGTAGGCTTACTCACGAGATGCTGCACTGCACAGTGACTCTGATCACAGCAGTAGGCTTACTCACGAGATGCTGCACTGCACAGTGACTCTGATCACAGCAGTAGGCTTACTCACGAGATGCTGCACTGCACAGTGACTCTGATCACAGCAGTAGGCTTACTCACGAGATGCTGCACTGCACAGTGACTCTGATCACAGCAGTAGGCTTACTCACGAGATGCTGCACTGCACAGTGACTCTGATCACAGCAGTAGGCTTACTCACGAGATGCTGCACTGCACAGTGACTCTGATCACAGCAGTAGGCTTACTCACGAGATGCTGCACTGCACAGTGACTCTGATCACAGCAGTAGGCTTACTCACGAGATGCTGCACTGCACAGTGACTCTGATCACAGCAGTAGGCTTACTCACGAGATGCTGCACTGCACAGTGACTCTGATCACAGCAGTAGGCTTACTCACGAGATGCTGCACTGCACAGTGACTCTGATCACAGCAGTAGGCTTACTCACGAGATGCTGCACTGCACAGTGACTCTGATCACAGCAGTAGGCTTACTCACGAGATGCTGCACTGCACAGTGACTCTGATCACAGCAGTAGGCTTACTCACGAGATGCTGCACTGCACAGTGACTCTGATCACAGCAGTAGGCTTACTCACGAGATGCTGCACTGCACAGTGACTCTGATCACAGCAGTAGGCTTACTCACGAGATGCTGCACTGCACAGTGACTCTGATCACAGCAGTAGGCTTACTCACGAGATGCTGCACTGCACAGTGACTCTGATCACAGCAGTAGGCTTACTCACGAGATGCTGCACTGCACAGTGACTCTGATCACAGCAGTAGGCTTACTCACGAGATGCTGCACTGCACAGTGACTCTGATCACAGCAGTAGGCTTACTCACGAGATGCTGCACTGCACAGTGACTCTGATCACAGCAGTAGGCTTACTCACGAGATGCTGCACTGCACAGTGACTCTGATCACAGCAGTAGGCTTACTCACGAGATGCTGCACTGCACAGTGACTCTGATCACAGCAGTAGGCTTACTCACGAGATGCTGCACTGCACAGTGACTCTGATCACAGCAGTAGGCTTACTCACGAGATGCTGCACTGCACAGTGACTCTGATCACAGCAGTAGGCTTACTCACGAGATGCTGCACTGCACAGTGACTCTGATCACAGCAGTAGGCTTACTCACGAGATGCTGCACTGCACAGTGACTCTGATCACAGCAGTAGGCTTACTCACGAGATGCTGCACTGCACAGTGACTCTGATCACAGCAGTAGGGCTACTCACTAGATGCTGCACTGCACAGTGACTCTGATCACAGTGAGCACTCACTAGACGCTGTACTCTACAGTGATCATGTTTACACTGGTACTCACCATACGCTGTACTCCACTTTTGGGCGCTCGAACCCTGGTACCCATGTAAGCGTGACGGAATTCTCGTTGCTTGTGGCTGAGAGGTTGTAGGGCGCGCGTGGCGCCACGTTGTCGATCATAATCTCAGTGTCGGACGAGATTGTGGCAGCCTCGTTGGACGCGACGCACTGGTACAGACCCCGATCGCTGTCCCTCAGGTTCTTAATAGTCAGATTGCCATTCTGCATCTTTATCCTGTCCAGTGGAAGCGCCAAACTATCTTTCTGCAAAGGCAAAGAAAGGCCTAACCGATTTCACAATATTTCGTCTGCAGCAACAGACCTCGTACTCTCGCGTTCAGGCCTTCATACATCGAGACGAAATTGAAGCAGTACTGTAGGAATGTGGGGGCACTATGCTACAAGCCGGAAGGTCGCGGGTTCAAGTCCCGATGACGTCATTGGATTTTTTTCAATTGACCTAATCCTTCCGGCCGCACTGTGGTCCTGGGGTTGACTCACCCTCTAACAGAAATAAGTACCAGGAATTAATTAAATAATTTTCCTGGGGAGTAAAGCGCGGCCGGCGCGTAGGGCTCTTACCGCCATATTTGAGCCGATTGTTTAGATAATGTGGGACCCTCAACGTCTCACGACCCTATGGACCTTCACAGCCTGTTACAGGAATAGCTCTACTTTCATTTTTTTTTTACTTTTACTTTGGGAATGTGTTAGTCCCTGCACATTAAGCATTTAAATATTGCAGAAACGGAAATCAACAAATTACCTTACAGACAGGTTCTTAATAAAGTATAGCTCCTTTGGAAATCATAACATGCAAACAGGTCCAGTAAATACAGCATAGAAATTGTTTCCTGTTGTAGCTGTAATTTTCCGAATTATATATGGGACACAAAACAGATGACTCTCCCATATCTGCTACGTGAACACAGGGAGAGCGTGGAAATTGATGCTTACATGAAATGGGGTAACACCTTCTGATTCTATTAAATGGGACTCAAGCGTTTATGGCTATAGAACCCTTAGTAGGCATTTTACTATGCATGTTGATCGGGAATCTGTACACAACGTGAACAGTGAAAATGAAAAATGGTGTAATTATTTTAATGTCATTATGGAGGGTTTTATAGCACCAGTTTCTTTGACTTTGTTGTTCAGTGTAGTTCTTCAAAGAATGATGATATACAAGCAAGATCGCCGTCATTACTCCAGTATTACTTTGTATCTCCGTAAGTGGCCCTGCAGTTTGGGGGTTGGACTTAAGGCTGACGACCTTGCTGAGTGAAAACATTATTGTTGGGATATCCAAAGATATAAAAACCGGATGTAATCTGACAGAATTTTCTAAGAAAGGCTATGGCGTAAAGGGCTGCTTTTATATTGATGATGACGATGATAATGATCTCCGTAAGTTATCTATGTAACCGGAATTTGACTGGTGCAAAGCGAAATATCTATAGAAGGCGCAAAGCCAGTTTCTCATAAATTTCGCACAGGTTTAGAGGGAAATATTCGTGGGCAACGCAAGTTTATAATCTCATTTAGAGGGGCTCTGTTGCCTAAGAATATGTCAGCAGTGTTTCAGTTTGTGACATCGTCAAACGGAAGAATGTCTGCACAAAAAGCAGAGAACAATGATAATAAATACAGTGTGGATCTTGTAACTTAACTCTTGCTGTACGTATCTGTGAAACTTGCTTTATATTATCTGAGAGAAGAGCATACAGTGAAAATGTATGCAAGCAGAAGGATCGGAAGAAAATTTGGGCCTAAGAAAGAGGAAACAGGAGGACAGAGATGATTACATAAAGAGGAGCTTCACAATAACTACTCTTCATCCAATGCTTATTTTTCTTTTATGGAGTATTCTTTAATGCTAACAGTAGCTAGACTCTACGGCGTCGAATGAAAGGACGGTTCATGAATGATGAATGTGCTGTTGATACGTACAGCGCCATAGAGTGTTTTGCACTTAGATCCACAGCAACTCTACAGCAAGTTCCTCTTACTGTTTAGCGCCTGAAGATGGCCCCGAAGGGCCGAACCATGTAAATAAATATAAATAATTGGATTATTTATGCTAAACTGGGGGGTTGACTTTGTTACGCTGTTCTGTGTGTGGTGGCTGCTCACCCTCAACCAGGCGATTTTGGGTTTGTGGTTGTCGTCCCCGTCGACGGCGTCGCAAGGCATCTCGAGAGTCTCGCCCGACTTCCTGAGGTACAGGTTGTGGGGCACGATCGTGAACATAGGGGGTCGCTGCACGATCACGTTGATGGGGGGCGAGGGGCCCTCCGTTCCGAGTTCGTTTCCTGGCGTGCATGTGTAGCGACCGCTGTGAGACTCGTTCACCTGCAACATGTTCCTGTGTTCAGTGAGGATTTGCTTGTGCAGCCCTGTCAGTTACAAACATTTGAGCTAATTGAGAGAAGCCTTGACGCTCGGTATATTACACTTCATGCTCTGTCATAAGCAACATCACGGTGAAAAATACAGGTTTCTCCTCTTTTCAGCCTCCAAAGTTTCTTAAATTCGCTCGCTTTCTTTCCCTTTTCTTTCTCTTCCCTTTCTTTCCTCCATCCTTTGTCTTCGCCTTTGTATTTTTTTTCAGTTTCTTTCAATATTTCTGAATTCCATTTGCCTCTAATTTTTTCTGTTTCTTTCTTTCATTCCTTCCTCGATTCATTCCAAGGTTTACATAAACTATAAGATAATAAAGGCAAACAAACGAACACATGGAAAGGTGATTCGAGTGTGAAGCAAGATTATGACAATCTGCCTTGTTGAGCTTTATGTGTAGTTTTAGTTTATTCCAGATAATGGCAATATTAATGAGACATAATAACCACACTGATTAAGCAATCTATTAGCATTTCAGCGGCATCGAAAGCCGGTACAGATGAGGCAAACATCCATTCACTTCGTATGGATACATTTACAACTTCATGTAGTTTTCTTTAGTGGGGGGTGGGGTGAGACTGAGTCCACTTGGTACGTCAGCCACTAATGGTTCGGCCACACAGAGCGCTACGTACGCGACGCACGCTACGTACGCTATGTTCGCTATACGAACAGAAAAATATCTCCCTTTATTGCCAATGTGACTGGCCACACAGACTTCCGTACGCTACGTACGCTATGTTCCCTACGTTAGGTGCGTCGCAGAGTGTACACAGCGTACGTAGCGAACATAGCGTAGCGCTCTGTGAGGCCGAACCTTAACTGGCTTATTGTACCAGCCCCGGATGATAGATGATTTAGTGGAATGATAACTGGCAAGGAAACCGTAGTATTCAGACGAAACTTGCCCAATGCCACTTTGTCTGGCACAAAACACACGTGACCTGACCTAGGCTCGAACCCGAGCCGTCACGGTGGGAAGCAGGCGACGAACACCCCGAGCTATGGCACGGCCTCAAAACTTCACGTAAAGGACATGGAACAATTAAATAGAGACATCTTCTCATAGAAGTAGATGTACTATATCGGTAGGGTCTACAATCAACAGAGAGCCATAAATAAAATTTTACACCTATACAAAACGTAACTTACAATAAAATACAAAGGGCAAATTTTTTCTCCTGATATACAGATGTTTCCGAAAGCTACTACTTAAATCCGGAAGTGGCGGTTACTCAGTGGTTTCGAAATACGTATCTTGAAGTGGTAAACGAATTAGGAGTATACACAATATTTTATGGTATAATACCGTATTTACGCATGTATAGGCCACGTGCGTGTATAGGCCGCGGCACAATTTTCAGACAGAAATTATAGGAAAAATAATTTTCTTGGAATATTATTTCAGGAGTAGAAATTATTCCGAAATTTGGCAACGTTAATTTTTTTTAAATGAAGTGTGATTTCGAATATTTTGAATATAAGCCGCATCCCAGTTTTCCTCTTGAATTTTTGGCAAAAAATGTGCGGTCTATACATGCGTAAATACGGTATATAAAGTACAAACCTGCTCTGGGTTCCACCCAATCTCCTAGGAAATGGGTATCGGGGGGTCTTTCCCAGGGGTAAAGCGGTCGGGACGTGAAGCTGACCGCTCACCTCCAACTAGTGTCGAGGTCAAGAAAATGTGAATTTATACACTCACTCCCCCATACGCCTTCATGGCATAGTGCTTAATTAGTTAAGCACAAGGATAACTTTACCTTTGTAGTAAAGCGTAAAGTGAAGGTATCCCTGTAACAGGCCGTGGAGACCCATAGGTTTGTGAGATGTTGAGGTTCTCACATTTTCCTTTATTATAATGTATAATGCTGATGGAGGTCGGGAGTTAGTGTCGAAATAAATTATTGATTTTTTAAAGATTAAATTCGATTTTTCAAGCAATATATTTCGTGAAGTTTAGTAACACCCGAAGTAGCTCAAAAGAGAAAGGAAAATATTTCTGGACGGAATCTGGCTGATTGTGTACAAAAGTGGGGACATTTTTCCTTTATCAGAGTCTTCAGGTGACCTTTAGCATTAGAGTCTGTGATTTCCAGTACCTTGGTGAAGTAAAGTGAACCGTTCTTACGGTAGAAGACCCCGGGTACGTTGTAGGGGTCGAAGAGGAATCCATCTTTCTCCCAGCGGATGTTGGTGAGCGGTGGGTTTGACAGGAAATGACAGTCCAGGATTCCCGAGCGTCCGTAAGGTAGGTACACCTCAGAGAGCGACTTCACCACCTTCGCCTTATCTGTAAAAACATCGCTCAACGTTGGAATGATTTCAGAAAATACATGGAAGCAAATAGAGGCTTCAGACGCCGATAAAGTAATCAGCCAACTAGCCAAGCAAGTGACCACCAATAAGCCACAGAACTTTCCAGAATATAATGCACACTTCTCGTTGAAATACTTCTGGAAAATGTGATTGAGTGTTGTATTCAAGTACGTTCAGTTTTGTTATGTATATTAGAAAAAATCTCTCCTCCCGAAATACTTATTTATTAAAATCGACTCATTACTTTCATGATGAAACACAATAAACAAACTCCGTGGCCTGTACTCCGCAAGCGAACTATACCGACCGAGCGACCGCCGCTTGTCGGCGAAGTTAGTGCCAACTTTAGCGGATAGAGGGTGTCGCGTGGTCAGCGCAACGAATCCCCACGGCCGTTAATTTCGGTTTTTTAGACCGGAGCTGCTATTTTCTTGAAATAGCTCCTCAATTATCTTCACAAGGATGAGTGGACCCCGTTCCAGACCCAGTACTTCTGAGAAAATCGGGTAGAGCCGGGAATCGAACATGGACCTGTGGATCTGTAGTCAGGATATCTGACTACTAGACCACAGAGGAGGTCTGTTCATAAATGTTTTAATATATCGATAGTTGTGTTCTGTGTTTACACACATGCTACAAATATTGTACTACTCACATATAAACATAGTTTCTTTCCTGCTTCGACCATTCAAAATAGGGACGCATTACATTCAGGAGTCCATTAAATTCGGTGAACGTCTTCCAACAGATGTTCTTTTCCCAAGAGTTAGTACGTACGAGTTAGTCCCGCAGTATTTTCTAGTTTGACGTCTTGCCGTGTGGCGTTTCCTCTATTCGTTTGGCTTAAGCCTGCATGTATAGCAATTACCATCCATCTCCCGACCTAGTAAATTTTGTCTGTTTTTCTCAAGCTATATTTTAACTTTTACATATTTTAACTTGTAACAACACAGTATCACTTTTACTGAACTTTTGATATTCTCTCCAATACGTTCCCGAATCCTACTGATGTCTCAGTGCTACAAAGTTGAGTAGATACTCTTCTTTGAATTCCACATTGTGTATCTTCTCTCTATTATATACAACGTATTTCTATTTTTCTGACAGCCTCTAACCACTTTCCTAATCATCAGATAATGGTTAGTGTCCCAGTTTGACGAATATTAACTACACTTTATTTAAAATTCAAAATTGGACTAAAAATTTCTTTTGGCATAAAATGTGGACCTAATTGAAATCTTCTTTGTTTAATACACCGTATGTTCTTTAAAAACACTGAAATATGTTTTAACTATGTGAGCTAAAGTGAAATTAATTATATGACAAAATGGCTCTGCTTACAACATACAGCCAATGAGATATTCATTCGTAAAGAAGGCATACGACATATATTTCTATTTTCTTTTTCGAGTATGCCTTTAATCTACAGTTCTCTATCCATAAATTTGCCTTCAAGAGACCCATAACAGACTCCGGCGCAGCGTTACTCCTTTGTAATGACAAGGCCTGTTTCCAGTTGCCATACATGCATTTATACAGCGAAGCTAATGTGTGCATTGAAACGGTCAAGCGCTTGTACTCACACTGAACGTTCAGATAAGCACTCGCTGTCTGTTTGTCCCCTCGAGAGTTTTTGACGGCGCAAGAATATTCTCCAGGATCAGTCACGTCTGTTGGTGAGATGATGAGCGAGCCATTGCTAGTAGAAGCGCGGTTGTTCAAGTCCGGGATGTTGCTCAGCTGTACGCCATCTTTGTACCACGTGACGACCGCGTCTTTGTCCTTAGAGACACACGTAAACTGTGCCGTTTCCCCTGCCAGCGTCGTTTGATTAATGGGTGGAATGGTGAGCAGAGTGCCGCCTGCAAAAGATGTAACATTACTATCTCTGGGATGTGATGCCGTGCTGTACCGACGTTTCGGGGAACATGCTGCTTTCCGACGACACGGCATAGCATTCTAGAACACAGTCACAGTCACAGTCACAGTCACCGCTGTGAGAACCTCAGAACGGCAACGATTCTTTGTTGTTGCTGTCGTCATCGTTGTTGTTATATTATTATTATTATTATTATTAGTTATATTCTGAGCTCTCACGAAGTAGAAACTTTTCGAGAATGCATCCCAGTCAATTGCTTTGTTTAAAACATGTACTCGTACATATTTTGTGAGAGCCGGGAGAGGGCAGTCGGTATAGTGACTTGCTACGGGCTGGACGACCGAGAGGTCTGAGTTCGAGTCCCGGTAGGTTGAAGAGATATCTCTTCCCCAATTCGTCCAGACGGACCCTGGGGTCCACCAAACTTCCTACCCAATGGGCACCGGGGGCTCTTTCTCGGGGGGAAAAGCGGACGGGGAGTGAAGCTGACCACTCACCTCAAGCTAGTGCCGAGGTCAATAAAACGTGGATCTATACATCCATTTGTCCATATGCCTTCATTGCGTAGTACTTAATTAGTTAAGCACAGGGACAACTTTATTTACTTACTTACTTTACACCTTTCTATTGTTATATGTACCCAACGGAATAGGTTTGTGTGTGGAGAAAAGTATGTTTATGTGTAATTTTTGCAGATTTTTACCAAATTGTTACTTTTGCTATAATAATAATAATAATAATAATAATAATGCAATTCAGTTCTTCCTTTATTTACGTGCTGAGCTCAACAGTCAATGGTCGACGATGATGATGATGGTGATGATGACAATACTACTACTACTACTACTACTACTAATAATAATAATAATAATAATAATAACCTACTGCCAGAATACAGTATTATTACATACTCTATACATTTTTATTTTATCTTTTAGGTTGGTTATTTATCGACGCTGTCAGTATTGAGATGATGATACGATGATTAATGAACATGGAGCAGTTTGTGGAATGATACACGGCAGAGAAGACGGGATTTAAACCCTTCCATTGGCCGTACAATAGCTCAGGCGGTCAGTCGCCGGTGTCGAATGATGGATGCCAGGGTTCGATCCCAAACCAGGTCATGTGGAAATTGTGGTTGAAAAAGTTGCACTGGGACAGGTTTCCTCCGAAAACTTAGGTTTCCCCTGCAAATTCTCATTCCACCGACTGCTCGACCCACATCTATCAGCCGGGGCTGGTACAATAGGCCAGGAAATGGCCGACATACCAAGAGGACCCAGTCTGACATATTCGAGGCTGAAGAATTCCAGCAAGCAGAGTGCTGAACATGGATTGTTTCTCCGAAACGTCGGAAGCTTCTATTAGATTGCAGGGGATCACATATCACAGGACATAGCATTCTCATACTCACATCTCACAACATTACATATGCCTGAGGAGAGGGTGGTGAGTTGAGATAAGCCATTTGCATACACAAGCACCTACATAAAATATGTCTCAACATACTATTTTAACCGGGAAAGAGACATAGCACTATATCTATGTTATTGTCATGGCCAGGGGTTGAAAAATCCTTTCGCTTGCTTGCCCAAGGTTCTTAGACTTTACTGCCTGGAGAGAGGCAACTCAGTTATGCCTTCAACTAGTTTGCCTATGGTCACCGAATATTCTTCACAATTCTGGTCAACGTTATGGTAAAGGTAAAAAAGAAGAGGCAAAGCTAGCCCTGTAACAGTCCATGGAGGCCCACAGGGTTGTGAGACGTTGAGGGTCCCACATTATCTAGACAATCGGCTCACAGATGACAGTAAGGTTGTCAGCCTTACGCGACGGCCGCCCTTTACCTCCCAGGAAGATTCCTGGTACTCATTTCTGTTAGAGGCTGAGTCGACCCCAGGGCCATAGCGCGGCTAGAAGAATTAGGTCAATTGAAAAAATCTACCTCATCAGGACTCGAACCCGCGACCTTCAGGCTTGTAACATAGTTCCTCAACCAACTACGCTACCGCGTGCCCGTTATTGTAGGAAAAAAAATTCGTTGCAACTGAGTGGAAGGGATTTAGTGGTTAGAATACGATATTAACAGTGAAGCAGCGAAATACAGTGTGTGTTCTAATTTCCGTGCATCAAGTAACCAAAACGTTAAACACGTTTTTGCTGTTCCATTTAAGGTAGCAGCTTTCGGATGCCGTTTGTTTTCGGTACAGCATGGTTCATAGCCAAAAATAAAAAGCTAGAAACTGATATGGAAGAAGTGTTGAAATAAGCAAAAAATTTGAGTTTAAAAGTTCTTAATCGGAACAAAAGCAATAACTACTGTACATAATATGCCAAATTATTTGCCGAAATAATGAAATACGACACTGAAAATGAAGAAAATAGATCCAAATCGATGTGTTGCTGATCAAATTGCACTGTATGCAAAATATTTTAATAATGGCATAGTTAGGGAGTAGCTTCTGGGAGTTACCGAATCAAAGAACACTACAGAGGAAAGACAGTTTCTAAGAGCAGAGCAGAAAACGAGCTAAACAATCTGGGACTTAATACGGACGATAATTTGAGTCTAGCAGAGCTGGGCACAGGTGATCTGCAGTTTTAATGAATTATCAACAAGACGTATGATTATTTCCAAACACTGAACTCCTGTGAACTGTACTGCATGCAAGTTACAATCGTGTATATTGAAAGCATTGCCATTCCGAAATGGAAGACTTCTGGTTGCTTTTTACAAGTTTTATGAAAGTTCTTACAAAGGAGAAGATGAAGTAAATAACACTAACAGTCAATCCTAGAATTGAGTGGTCGGTAAACCTGAGGCTTAATGGCTTGAGAGTGGCGTCTTGCTCATCTGGAGCCTACTCTAACATCAGGGAAGTGTAAGAAGTTTCTGCAGGAAATAAATGGTTGAAATTTTATACTAGCAGTTCATGTCTGTTGGATTTTCTGTCCTTAAGGTTCCAAAGAGAGAATCTAATGTCGAACCTTGTAAAAGTATGTGTTGAAATTGAGTTTTACTCCTAACAGAAGGTTGAAGGCGCTGTAGGAATAGAAGAGGAAGACACTTATGAGAGTATTTCAATGACAGCAAAACCTGAAGGAATTCAGTTGACTGGAATAACGCAGGAAAAACAACAATTGAGGCAGACAGAAGACTCACTAAATCGAGAAAAAAAAAAGGTCTTGAATGAAACGTTTTCTGACGCCACCATCTGTAGAGCACTGCTGTCTACTGTGTGGCTGGCACTGTCTCGTGGCTATTAAGTTAAGATGTTTTCATCGTTAGGAAGTAATTATTCTCACTTCCCACTTTCACTGCTTTATTCCAGTTCATTCACTTGAAATGGTTATAGAAGACATTTTGACGTATGGTATGAAGCCAAGAAAATTTGGCAGAGAATGAAACTTGAGGACACTGGCATCTGCCTTGTCACAGGAAAAGAGATCCGCATTCCTCGGCAAGACAATGTCAACAGTTTCTGTCATACCAGCTTCTGCGTCATCCTGAGAAAGAGGATGTAACGAGATGAATCTTATAACGAATACGCTTGGGTAAGTATTGCACAGTGTCAGTTTAAAAGATCGTTAATGACATATCTGAAGGGTCCACGAACTACTGTGTATGATTGGATGTTGGTACCGAGCAAGCAAAATGTTGTACCACATTAAGAGCAGCAGACGCCATTTGTAGGGACACAGGGGTATGCAAGAGGCACTAACTTAACTAATTAAGCACTACGCCATGAAGGAGCATTTTCTTGACCTCGACACTAGTTGGAGGTGAGTGGTCAGCTTGACGCCCTGTCCATTTTACCCCCGGGGAAAGAGGCCCCGATACCCATTGGATAGGAGGTTAGGTGGGCACCAGAGCCGGTGTGAACGATGTGGAGAAAATTCTTGTCTTTACCGGGACTCGAACTCCGACCCCTCGTTCGTCCAGCCAGTAGCCAGTCCCTATGCCGACTGAGCTATCAAGGCTCCCAATATAATATAAGGTAATAATTAATATGAAATGTGCCGACTGATATTTCGAGTCCGCTAAATTCAGAGCAAACCATGTCCTACGTACCTATTCACCTAAATTCCGTCGAATGAGAAGAGGAACGTGAAATGGAGCCGACGGGACCTGAGTCAAGGTTCTGTTTCGGCATTTGTTTCGAGCGACTAAGGAAAACCACGAAAGACCTAACTCGGGATAGCAGGTCTCTGGGCCGAAATTTGAGCTCGAGTCTTTATAATACGGAATAGAAACGAAACAAAAACACACTCTGTGGTTTCAGTCCGCAAGCGAACTATACCGACCGAGCGACCGCCGCTTGTCGGCGAAGTTAGTTCCAACTTTAACAGATAGAAGGTGTCGCGTGGTCAGCGCAACGAATCCCCACGGCCATTAATTTCGGTTTTCTAGACGCTATTTCCTTGAAATAGCTCCTCAGTTATCCTCATGAGGTTGAGTGGACCCCGTTCCAGACCCACTACTTCCCAGAAAATATGGTAGTGCCGGGAATCGAACCCGGACCTCTGTATCTGTAGCCAGGAACTCTGACTACTAGACCACAGAGGCGGCCAGAATACAGAACAAGAATGCCAATTATTCTACAGCGACTTTAGGTGTCATCATCAGTGAAGAGCTACTCTTGCGCTATGAGTTAACCCTTCACTCAGAAGTGCAAGGAGATGCCAGTGCTATTATAACAGTCTCACGCGGTTACCTTCCACAGAGAGATGAAACCAGGTGCCGTTGGGCCGGGTGCTGGGTGTTCTGTTGGGGAAGAAGACGCTGCACTCGTACCAGCCTCCATCTGACTCCCTGATGTTGGTTAAGTTGATGGAGCCTCGTCCGTAGGAGGTGTCCGGAGACACTAGGCTGATGCGACCCGCGTACCCCTCTGTTGCCTGCAGCCCACCGTCATAAGACGAGAACACAAGTGCCCCCTGCACATAAAAAGTTACATTACACATCGGCCTTAAAGGAGAGCCAGTTCACCCAGCGATTGCATTCTGACGACTTACAGAAGCATGTTCACGACTTCACACAGATAGCAATCAATCACTGTTCTGACAATGAAACAAATTATATCACTGAACGCTTATTGTCCAAGTTAAGTGGGTCCCTTGTCACCACGGCATGGCGCGTCCTCAGGTTGCGGTTGGAGGGAAGCTGCGAACATATTGAATAAGCAGTAGCGGACAGCCGACAAGGGGTGGCCCTCCAGCTTGGGGGTTGGGCGTGGGACTAACAACTTCTCACCTTAAAAAATGATTATGTTACGAAAATGAACACAAAGCCTCGGACCTGAACGGATTCCTTGGATAAACGACCTAAGCTAATGAACATCGCAATGAGGATGAGGTGGGCAGGTCATGTAGCACGAATGGGGGAGACGAGGAATGCGTATAGGATATTGGTGGGAAAGCCAGAAGGAAAGAGACCACAAGGAAGACCAAGGCGTAGGTGGGTGGACAATATTAGAATGGATCTTAGAGAGATAGGATGGGATGGTATGGATTGGATATATCTGGCTCAGGATAGGGACCAGTGGAGGGCTCTTGTGAACACGGTGATGAACCTTCGGGTTCCATAAAATTCTGGGAAATTCTTGAGTAGCTGCAGAATTGGCGGCTCCTCCAGAAGGGCTCAGCTCCATGAGTAAGTAAGTACAATAGGCAATGGCTTATACTTTTAGGAACCGTCTATGACCACTACACAAAGCAAAGTTAGGGGTAAGGGGCACCAGTGCGCATCAATTAAAGGAAAAAAAAATTCATGTTCCTATATTGGCTCATTTATTCTGATGTACTCGTATGTGTATATTTCCGTCTTAAATGCGACTCAGTATCTAGTCAACCTTCTTCCTCACTACATATTTCGGCCATGCACGACCACAATCAGGTGTTGTCTTGCTAAATTTGTTGCGCTGGATGTCAAAGCTCTGTATCGCGTGTAGCATATGTTTTGTTTGAAGCAAATTAAGATTGGATTCAAAATCAATTCATATCTTAATGTTATTTCCATTGTGGTCGTCATTTACTCTTTTAGAAGACATTTGCTTGAGAGTATTTCTCGTTGTTGGATTTATTCGCGCTGCATTCCATTTGCGGCGTAGGTACTCTGCTTAGTATTTTTGCAGTTCTTAAGTATGTCGATGTATTGCTATTAACAGTGTTGTTATACACGTATATGCTCCATTGGCTTTTAGGTTTTTCCATTCTCTTGGACTAATTACATTGTTAAGTGGTTTGTGTGTGCAGATTTATTCTGAGCTGTATTACTTCTAGGTTTAAATGCAAATTCTGTTATGCAGATGTAGAGTTGTCCTTGTGCTCAATTAATTAAGCACAAGGCTATGAAGATATATCGGAGAGTAAAGTTATAGGTCCACATTTCCTGATCTCTGCACTAGATGAAGGCGATTGGTTAACTTCACCTCCCGCCAGCTTTACCCCTACATAAAGATCCCAAGGCACCCATTGGAGAGGAGTGTGGGTGGGCCTCAGTGCTGGTCTGGACTCTAGGGAGAAGACAAAATTCATTAACCCTGTTGGGAATTTAATCCTGGCTGTCCACTCTGTAGCCCGTCACTATACCGACTGAGCTATTTAGGATCGTAAAACCTGATACGTACTTAGTTTTCTATGCTTTAGCAATCAGTTTATGTTGTTATTAATAATTCTATAATTTATAGTTTAGTTTATATTATATATGAAGTTTTATATCCATGACCTCCATTTTCTCCTAGACTCTAAGATGTTAGGAATGAAGGTCACCACCGGAGGAGACTACAAATTAACGGGGAATCCCAACAGAAGCGTGGCGCCCTCCGTTCTCAAACGCGCAACATTCTACAGTCTGTCGTGTAGATTAATCCTCTCATCAAACAAAGGATCACTCCCTGGTCACGAACTCAACTCGGATACGGGACTGCAGTAGATGTAATGGCAGCTCGACAATATGCAAAACGCTGCACCCTCCCGTCCTGAACGTCAGCTGCAATTTCAAGTATCTTGGTTTAAAAATCCTGATGAATACGTGTCTGCGACAGGTTGTGTGTCCTCTGGAGCCATTCAGTGCATGCTCATCAGACCGAATTTCCGCACCTGAACGGAACCGAAAGGTTAGATTTCGTGAACACAATATTGCGACACTGGAGTTGAGGTCACAGCGGTGACTAAGAACAGTTCTCCCTTCTGAGATATAACGGCGTATAGTCTGGTTAAAGTCAACCAATGTTTCGGAGGAACACGTCGTCTCCGTCTCCAGGGTAAAAGCGTAAACGGAGCGAGAAAGCTGTGTGAATTTCACCGAGCTACATGACGTTATATCCAGGCAGAGAAAGTCTTAATAAAATTGTGAATTTTAATATTTTAAAAATAGAATTGTCTATATGTAATTTTAATCTATAAGAGATTAAGTTTTTTATCATCATTATTATTTTGAATTATTGGTCTACAAGGGCATGATAATTCCTGTTCAATAAATGGAGACGAATACATTCCATCGTTATTCAAAAATATTTCCCGAAACGATCTACGAAACCATAGAACTAATTTTACCGTCGGAACCTTATTTTCCTACTTACGCTTCGGCGATATGTTCGTATACTTACTTTTTCTTTATTGCTAGTGGGGTGGGACTAAGTCCCTTTTACCGCGGCCACTTCTGGCCTATTGTACCAGCCCCACATGATAGGTGAGGGTGCTAGTGGAGCAATTGGTGGAATGAGGATTGGCAGGGGAAACCGAAGTACTCAGAGAAAACCCGCCCCAGTGCCACTTTGTCCACCACAAATCCCATTTGACCACACCCGGGATCGAACCCGGGCAGCCGCGGTGGGAAGCCAGCGACTGACCGCTTGAGCTATGGCGCGGTCCTGCTTACTTATTTACTTATGGAGCTCAGCCCTTCTTGAAGAGAAGCCAAATCAGCAGCTACTCAAGAATTTCCCCCCATTTTACGGAACCCGAATGTTCATTACCATGTTCACAAGAGCCCTCCACTGGTCCCTATCCTTAGCCAGATCAATCGAATCCATCCCATCCCATCCTATCTCTCTAAGATCCATTTAATATCGTCCACTCACCTTCGTCTTGGCCTTCATAGTGGTATCTTTCCTTCTGGCTTTCACACCAATATTCTATATGCATTCGTCTTCTCCCCATTCGTGCTACATGCCCTGACATCTCATCCTCCTTGACTTGATCATTCTAGTTATATTTGGAGAAGAGTACACGTTATGAAGCTCCTCCTCATGCAGTTTTCTCCATCCTCCTGCCACTTCATCTCTCTTCGGTCCAGATATTCTCCTCAGAACCCTGTTCTCAAACACCCTCAGTCTTCCCTTAATGTCAGAGACCAAGTTTCACACCCATACGATATATTCGCGTAGTGAATTAAAATAAACTTCTGTACATCTATGAGAGTGACGATTTCGAAAATGTCATGTCTAAAATATTGATAAATAAGTAGCAAAAGAAGTCGAAAAATAAAAATGAAGAAGACAATAAAAATTAAACGAAACAGTAATTGTATGGAGAGACGAGATATCAGTTTTCACCTTGATCTAAAATGATTTTCCAGAAAATCCAAGCCCTAAGTAAATAACCAGAACGTATATTTCTAATACAGCAGGAAAAGGGAACATATTACGATGTTGTAGATGTTGTATATAAGGCGTAATCACGGACATTTTAGTTTCCAATTGTGGAGTGAAGCTCAGCATACAGTATGCTAGGGAAGAGCATCCAGGATCCAGACACTGCGCCTGCCGCATTCAAGCAGACTGTTCGCATACATCGACATTGGGCATCTTCAGAGTGAAATTCTAGACTATCTAGGTAATGTACTTTCGAACTTCCGGATGAACGAGAAGTTATATTCTGCGAAGACGCCGAGCATATCTAAACACCAGCCGCCATTTTGCATGAACATCTACATGTTAGTTGTGACCTTCAGCAAGAATCTCTAGATACTTCAGGATAAATATAAACAGCCACTAAACATTAGGATAAATTCGATTCACTTGGACACAAAGAAAATCAGCTAGTACGGCGTACTCAGTGGTTCAAAAGCTATCCACCTACTATTTTGGTAAGGCTGGCCCATCCACAATAATACATATTTTTATTGTGACTGTATTCCAACCTAGTGCACTGCATCGAATTATGCAAAATATCTACATTATCCTATTCACCTGAAAGCCATAGGGTGAATAGAGTCACTACTTGGGGTGAATGGGACCATTAGAAATGAAACGCATTAGTGAAAAGTTCAGCTTTGGTTACATATGTATAAATGGCCGCGTCATGGCTCAAGCTGTTAGTCGCTGGCTTCCCACCGCGGCGGCCTGGGTTCGATCCCGGGTCTGGTCAAGTGGTATTTGTAATGGGCAAAGTGGCGCTGGGGCAGGTTTTCTCCGAGTACTTAAGTTTCCCCTGCCAATCTTCATTCAACCAATTGCTCCACAATCACCCTCACCTATCATCTGGGGCTGGTACAATAGGCCAGAAGTGGTCGCAGTACAAGGGACTTAGTCCCACTTCACTAGCAATAAAAAAAATACATATGTATAAGCTTCTGACAGTAACATACAGGTTCTGCATTGTATTCTTTAACTCTTCCTTATATGTACTTCCCTTAAATAAATCTGTCATTGCTTTTTGCAGCAAAGCACTTCTAGTGGTATCACATAGCGCATTTCATATATCGTATTCAGTCTCTAAATTACGATGGATTCCGAGAGTAATGTTGTTTATTTCAAAGTCCACAACTTGCGTCGTCGTCTGAGTTTTCAGCGCCAACCTCATCAGCATCTGAGTTTCTCTTATGGACATCTTTCTTCTGGTCATTCTTTACGTTCTTTCCCCGATATTTTTCGCGGGCTCCCTCAATGTACGTATGTACGTAGCAGAAGTCAACACTGCACTTCACTGTATCC